GAAGCGTAACATTTTTCCGTTCTGAAGCATGGCTTGCCCTGTGTTTCAGTTTCCTTAAACACTGAGTGACATGCTTTCAATACAGCAGTGTCATCATTTTATTTATATATATCTACAAGTAGGGCCTTTCAAAAGCTGAACTTTAGCTCTGAGGTGCCCTAATTTATTGGATAAATACGTCTTTCCTAGGAGCAGGCCTTTCGAGTCTTAAGATAGTGGCTGACCTGGTGTTCTTCTTATTCATTCGTGTGATGAAAGGGTGGGGAGTGCCTCACAAATCTCAAATTAAGAGTCAGCTACATTTGCTATGGGTCTGGAATCATGTGCAGGCCCAGAACCGGTAAGGAAGGCATTTTCCTTCCCTAAAGGACATTAGTGAACCAGATAGGGGGTTTTCCCCAACGATTGATCATGGATTCATGGTCATCATTAGATTCTTAATTCCGGATATTTTATTGAATTCAAATTCCACCATCTGCCGTGGTGTGATTCGAACCCAGGTCCCCAGAACATTACCCGGGTCTCTGGATTAACAGTCCAGGGATAATACCACAGCCTCCCTAGGGTTCAGTGCTGGGAACCCTTGTTGTCTGTAATATATATAAATGATTTGGAGGAGAATGTAAGTGGGCCTATTCGTAAGGTTGCGAATGACACAAAGATCAGGGGGAGCTGTAATGAGTGAGGATATTGCCAGAGGAAACAGCTGGATATATAGATAGGCTAGAGACTTGGGCGGATTGGGTTTAACATGGACAAGTGCAATGTGACCTAGTTTGGAAGGTCTGATGCAAGACAGAAGTATACAGAGAATGGCAGGACCCTTTGGTAGCAACAAAATGCAGAGGAATCTATTAGTACAGGTCCACAGTTCCCTGAAAGTGGCAACGCAAGTGGGTAAGGTGGTCAAGAAGATACATTGCATTCATCGGTCTGGGCACCGGGCGTAGATATAGAATTTTAGTTCGGCTACGTTTGGAATACCGCGTAGAGTTCTGGTCATCATACTGCCAGAAGGATGTGGACGCTTTGGAGAAGGGGGACTGAAACAGTTTACCAGGGACGTTGCCTGGTTTGGAGGATATCAGCTACGAGGATAAACTTGTTCTGTTATCACTTGAATGTCGAGGCGGGGGTGGAGGATGAGGGCTACTGACCTAACAGAAGTTCACAAAATCACGGGAGGGGGGGATAGTCGGAGTCTTTATCCCAGGGTAGAAATGCCAGGGGACTAAAGTGAGAGGGTGTAAGTTTAAAGGAGATGTGCGAGGCAAGGTTTTGTTTTTACACAGAGGGCGGGTAAGTGCCTGAAACGCGCTGCCAGAGGCAGTTGTGGAGGCAAATACAACTGGAACGTTTCAGAAGTATCTTGACAGATATATGAGTTGGCAGGGAATAGAGGGATATTGAATGTGTAGAGGCGAAAGGTTTTTGGTTTGGGAAGGCGTCATGGGTGGGCACAGTCTGGGCAGGCTGAAGGACCTGTCCCTTTTAAGGCAATCCGATCGTTCCAGGTATCCCAGGACTCATTATCGGATCTGAAAACAGTTTGTTCTCAGCACGTCGAACTGCTTCAGTCATATATTCAGAGGAGAGTTTGCAGTCAGGCCTTGAGGCCTAATTCGTCTCCATTATGACTGCTGGAACTCGATGGGTTAAATCTGTTTGCAATGTAGAAAGAGAGAGAGGCCGCTGGACAGGGTGTGTCAAACACTCTGATAACATCGCTGCGAGATGTTTACTCTGTAATTTGTCCCCCTTTTAGACTAGGCCAACGGGAGAGTTTCCAGTCACACACTAGTGAACCTTTTAAGTGAAACAGGACGTTGGAAAGGGCGGTGGGGGGTGGGGAGGGTTGGGATCTGTCGGATATCTCCCAAGGGGAGACGAGTGAGGATCGGCTGCAGATCACCCGTTCTCTCGCGGAAAGGAAAACCTCCTCGCTCGTTTCTGGAGAAATTACCCCGAAAACGTACACGTCCCTATTCCCTGGCGCCACTCCTGGTTTCGAAACCATGGCCGAGAGCCTGGAACATCAAACTCCCTAAGCCGGTTTGAGATGACCACTGGGCACAGTGTGGCAGACAGTCCCACGCCCCTTGGATCACTGAATGTACTTTGCCAGGAGGAGAGTACACAGTTCAGTACTAAGAGCAGCTATAGTCTTTACCTCAGTACACAATGTGCTCAGACACTGTCCTTTTTTTAAAAAAGCCGAATTGTTATTAGGTTGCCAGCCAGGATTTGATTATGTGTTCACTCTTCTGCGGGATTTTGACACGTTTGGCAAGGCCTGGCGTTCCTTGCCCTTGAAGATAATTCAGCCTTTGTCAGAGCACGGTTTTAAGAGTTGGCCGCAGGCTCGGGTAGGCCCGACTGGGTAGGGTAGGCCTGAAGAGCCAGATGCGGTGTTTTAGGGGGTTTTTTGTTTCCGTGACACTTGCCATTATCGAAGCGCGTTTTCCATTCCGGACTCACTTGGCGAATTTAAACGGTGGGATGGGAGCCATTTCCCCACAGCGTGACCCTGAGTGTCTGGATTTCTACCCCACAGCGGTACCAGGCTAACGGCACCCCATATAAACATTGCTGACTGTTATAAAATCCCATCTGATTTAGTGTCCTTCAGGGAAGGAAATCGGTGACTATATGTGACTCCAGGCCCACAGTGATGTGTGGTTAGCCCTTGATGCCCTCTGAAATGGGCAGTAGGGTTGTTTTTTTGAACGAACAGCAGTGTTCCACAGGGTGTACTGTTGTTTGTCCTTTATATCAACGATTTGGATGAGAGTATTGGAACTGACTGGCTCAGTAGAGTCATCGAGTCATACAGCACCCTTCAGTCAAATTTGTCCAACGCCAACCAGGTTTCCCAAACTGACCTAGTCCCATTTGCCAGCATTTGGCCCCTATCCCTCTAAACCCTTCCTATTCATGTCCCCATCCAGATGCCTTTTAAATGTTGTCATTGTACCAGCCTCCACCACTTCCTCTGGCAGCTCATTCCATACACGCACCACCCTCTGTACGAACAAATTTCCCCTCAGGACATCCTTGACCCTGAGAGACCTTGAGAATAGAGAAATTAGAATCTCCTCCAGCTCCTGCATCCCCCCAACACCTCTGTGCCCCTCCAAATCTGACCACTCGAGGGTTTTGCCCCCCCCCAAAACCGTGCTCTCCATCCCCCCTCCCCCCCCGATTTTAATTGCCCCGCAGCAGCTGTAACAGAGGTATAGACAAACAGGAGGTTGTGACTCTGTGGAAATTGACCATGCATACAACAATGTGGCCAAGCTTAGCAGCAGGTGGCAGTATCATGTTCCAGGAACCCTGAGCCCTTGGCCATCAAGAGGTGGTGAGGAGACAGTGACGGAGGAACAGAGAGATCTGGGAGCCCTCATCCAGCGGGCAATAGGGAGGGCAAATGGACTCTCGGCCTTTGTTTCAGAGGGAAAGGAGTATGAAAGTGGGAAGGTTTTGCTAAAACTGCACAAGGCACTAGTCAGACAACAGTTGGAAGACTGTGAAGCGTTTTGGAGCCCCGTATCCAAGCAGAGATAGACTGGCCATCGGAGGCAGCCCAAAGTAGGTTCACTCGGCTGATCCCAGGTACGGAGGGACTGTCTTATGAGGAGAGGTTGAGTAGGTCAGGGCCTGTACTCGTTTAGAGGAATGAGAGGTGACCTTATTGAAACAGACAAGATTCTTCGAGGGACTTGACAGGGGGAGATGTGAAGAGGATATGTCCCCTTGTGGGAGAGTCTGAGATCACAGGGTATAATCTCAGAATAAGAAGTTGTCCATTGAAGACAGAGATGAGGAATTCCTCCTGAGGTGTGAATCTGTGGAAGTCTGTACTGCTCTTGTTGCCACTTTATGTGGCAAATCCAGTCAAGTTTCTAGTCAATGGTAGTCCCCAGCATGACGCAAATACAGTTGGTGTCGTTTGTATGTATTCCAGGAAAGCCATTGATAAAGTCCTACATAACAGACTGATAAAGAAAGTAAAAGCTCTTGAGATCTAGGGTAGCTTGGCAAGTTGGATCCAAAACTGGCTTAGTGGTAGAAGGCAGAGAGGGCTGGGAAGAAGACTGTGGGACTGGAAGACAGTGTCCGATGACATACCACATGAAGCAGTGCTGGGTCCCTTTTGTTCATGATATCTGTATTGTTTTGTATGTATACGTAGGGGGATGATAAGTTTGCAGATGACACAAAAATTGGCCAGATACTGAAATTCAAAGGATCTTGGGTAGGGGTGGTTAGGGCAACATTCAGGTCATTTACCTTGGTCAGTCATGGCAGAGATTATAAGGGCAGGAAGATTACGTTGGAGCTGTACAGGTCTTTAGGTAGGCCGCACGTAGAGTACTGGTCCATCCCAGGCACGCAATAGGAAGGTTGTGATTGCACAGGAGGGGGCGCAGAGGAGATTCACCAGGATGTTACCTGGGATGGAGCAGCTTAGCGATGAAGAGAGGCTGGATAATCTCCGGTTGTTTTGGAACAAAGGAGGTGAGGGAACACCTGATATAAGTGGGGAGAAAGCAGCTGTTTCCCCTATATGAAGGGTCAGTAACAAGGTGGTAGGGTGGCAGGGGGGGAAGGCATCATTTTAAGGTGAAAGGCAGGAGGCTGAGAGAGGGAGGATTTGAGGAAATTTTCACCCAAAGGGTGGTGGGGCTCTGGAATACGCTGCGTGGGAGGGTAATTGAGGCAGGAAACCTCAACCTTTATAAAGCACTTGGACGAGCACTTCAAGATGGTGGATCTGGTGCGGGCAAGTGGAATAGAGGAGAATTAGTCATTTTTGTCGGTACAGACTTGATGGACCAAAGGGTCTCTTCTGTGCTGTATAATCCTTTGAGCTTTTCCCCTTCTTTTGTTTGATCACTATTGTGTAAATGATAGACATGAAGAACATTACACCAATAGAATCCCTTATTTATTCTGGAAGGTAATTGGCTGACTTTTTTTTCATTCGATTGGTTTCTCAGTGTGAAGAATTTGTCTACGTCCATGCACCTGCACTCACCAATATTTCAGAGTATCCAGAGGATTTTGATCTGTGTGGGGTGAGTATCTCGAGGTTAGCATTCACCGCGTGGTGTACATCAGACAGAGGGAGATCTAGTCATGCACAAAGAGCAGGCACAGACTCAGTGGGCCAAACGGCCACCTCCTGTGCGCTGCTGTTCCAAATACCAGGCCAACACCCAGAATGTCCTCTCGGTCAGGATATCAAACCTATGCCTCCTGGCCCAGAGGTAGGGACGCTGCCATTAGGGGGACTCTTGTGATTGCAGAGGTAAAGAGCACGCTTTTGTGGTTCAGCTTTCAGTTGTATAGACTTGTGTTCATTCAGGAATAAGCCTCAACTTCTGTACCTTTCTGTATCTATGGACAGGCTCTGCGCATCTGTACAAGAAAAGTGGATGCACATTTCAACAGAATCCTCCAACCTGTATAAAGTAAGCATGACATCAACATTTGTATAGGGGATGGCAATGACTGAAGATTCATAGACCGTGTGTCATTCACAATTCAGGAGGGTGGAATAGGAGGGGTGAGCTGGGTGGGAGGGGAGGATGAGGGCGAAGCAGCTGTAGCTCCTAGTGGTTCCAATTTTAATACCAATTCTCACCTAAGTTTTGAATTTGCGCCTTGCTATTTAATGAAAGGCACAAGTAGGAAGTTATTAAGATTGAAAAAGGAAGATGGAAATCTCTAAATTAGAAATCAATGGTTAGTCAACGTTGAACTTGAGGAACTACAGAACAATTCAGTTTCACACTAGATTAACAGAAGTTGTGTTATTGTTAGTTCTATATTTCAGTAATATGAAGAGCTCATTAATATTTTCTCTTTTTTTTTCAGGCTGTCGAACGGTGAGAGGAGCAAGATTTGAACTAAGGCCAGCCCCGCATATTTTTTTTTTTAAAAAAGAAAATTCCTCTTGCACTGCTTAGAAATTTAATTCAGGATCAGCACACACTCACTGAATGCTGGAGACACTCAGCAGGTCTGAGCATCTGTGGAGAAAGGAAAAACATTCAATGTTTCAAGTCCAAACGTTTCAAACTGTTTGGTTGTTGCACGTGTTGGGAATGAGTGTGGAAATATTAACACATTCAGCTAAAACCCTGTTTGCCTCCATAACAATGCACGCAGTTCCGAAACAGTTCACTGTCTCAGAACAATTCCAAGGTCCATCTCAGGTCGGACAAGGCACTGTCAGTTTAAGTCTTCTTTTTCCAATCTCTGCTGTCAAAGACTTGCAGCCAAACATCGCCAAGGCGACAGCAACATTAGGACCAACACCACTTTGTTGATTCAACATGGGGAAAGAAAAGCTAGCCTTCTCAAAAGAAGAAAGAGGTGATTGTGACAGAATTTGATCTGATCAATGTCAATCTGAATTCACCCAGTAACCTCTCCCATTAAATTTTCCTTCCCTTGTCCTCTGGAGCTGATTGCAAGTTAGTCACACGGACTTTAAAAATGTGCTTTAAAACCTTGATTCGCTTGCTTAATAAACTTTTTTTAACTAACATACTACTTTGCAAATTGATACAGTTTGTTCACATCTTTTAGTTATTCTGTTTGACACTTTGCTATACAGACTGGGAGGCAACATTTCCCTTCGTTTCATCTCGGGCTAGACTGGAAACAAAAGGAATGGCCTCCATTTCTCAGGGCAAGAGACAGACAGAAAACAGCACCAAGCTGTTAACCCCACATTATTAAGAGGCATTGCCAAGCACAGTCCCCATTGAAGCAGGAGGATTATGAACAAGTTGAACCCTTCAGAGCTGTTTACAAAATGAAATGACCAGTCTATTCCAAGTTCCTCCTGTAACCTCCTCATTGTCTACCTAGAAGCTCCGTGTCCCTGCTCATGGGTTCTGTGGGCCCTTATGTGGCTGATGGGCCTATTGCGGAGCTGCATCTCTGAGTATACATTTGGTAGATGTTTCTGGGAGGGAAATTGGTTCCTGGCCTTGAAATCACTGTCACCCTTTTCTCAGATTCCTTCCCCACACATCCTCTTGCCAAAGGGTGTCCTTATATCCACAAGCCTGCTTTATCTCAGTCTCCTTATGCTTGATGGGCTCATTCAGCATTTGAGTGCGAGATCCGAGACACAGTAGCATTGACACAAACACAAGAGATAGAACTTTTTCAGGAGGAAAGAACAGTTGAATGTATCAATGGTATCCTGTGTTAACTGCAATGGGGGAACAAATCTCAGGCTGATGAGTGTGCCTCAATCTCCCACAGCAGGAACACAAGAATCCTCCAAAAGCAACAACACACATTAACACCAGTTGCCCGATGCCAAACACAGATTTTCCAATGGAAACTTTAATGACCCTAACAGAGGCACAGTAATCAATGAGAGAAAACAAGTGAGAAGTAAAATATTTTACTCCTATGATTTTCCAAAAATTACCATCAAGAGGAATTATTTCAAACTCTAATGTGAATAAAACTGAATCCTGAGATTGCTTTAATTAATGTTCCAAGAGTCAGGAGAAGGCAGACTATTCCAAAAGGCTGTTTTTCAGGTTCTGCTTCACTTTTGTTCCATACAACATTTCAGTTCATTTTTTTTAAAAACACATTTCGGTACACTTCCTTATCTGAAACAAGTCTGGAAAGTGGCTTTCTACTCCCACCTCCACAGCAACTGCTTTAACAGCAAAGGAATGTAAAAGAGCATTAACAAAACAAAGGAAGTAACGGGATAACCAAAGCACATTGAGACTTGTAACATCCTGTGGGAATAAATCTGCCAGGACTCCACAAGCAAAGATGATAAAATCAGTCAGTCATGCTTCCAGGTGAATTGTAAAGCATTCCTTGAAACAAGACTCATTCTACAAGAACGTACACAGCAACATCACACTGATTCAGAGCTAGCCAAGGTGTCAGTAATAGAGCAACTGCAGACTTAGACCTGTCATAAGAGTCTGCACGCCCTGCGACATCTGTGTGATCGATCCACACTTTCCAGGCATTTCAGTTTACGGAGTAGTCAGGCTTTGCTTCAAATATTGCTGTGTACTTCCAGCTCCAAACCAGTAAGTCCAACTTACCAGGGGTAAAGTGCTCTCGCTCCCAAACTTTACCCCTGTCACGCTCCTTTCTGACTGGGCAGACTTTCATCACTGTCCTCGCGTCTCTTCCATATCTGTTGATGAATCAAAGCAGTTTGTTTTTAATGGTGTACAAAGACAGCCAGGAGCTATCCAGTTCATTCCAGTACTCTTAAAATTAGCAGAGTGATCACATTTCCACTCGATTAAGTTGAGTAAACATCGAATCAGTGATCAAAATGAGCAGCAGCACAGAAGTTAACCCACCTAAACATTGATCAATCACTTTTTTCTCAATAGCCCTTTTGACTACTGTTGCAAGAACTGACTGGCACATTGACCGCGGCGCACATTATGATAGTGTGGTATTTCATATCAAGTGCTCGAGCACCAGTCACCATGCTCCTAGAGTTACATCCGGGCACAGAAGGAAGCCTTTCAGCCCATCAAGTCATGCCAGCTCTCTGTAGAGCACTTCAGTCAGTCTCGTTTCCCCTACATGTTTTCAATGCTTTCAAATTCTTTCAAAATCGTTTCCTGTCTCTCCTTCCTGGTAGGCAGTGACTCCAGGTCACCATGACTTGCTGAATAAAACGTATTTCAGCTTATTCTCCCTTCCCCGTATTGAGCCCAGAGTGTTTAATCCATCTCTCCTCACCCTCCTCTACTTTCTCTCTCCCCCCACCCACACTGTCCGTTTTCAGATCATGGGAGAAAATACGTGAAAGTAGGAAACAGGGCGAAGATTTCAGAATTATGTGCTAAAGACATGGACGGCCTTGGGTTCATCATGTCCTGCTGCCCTTGTAATTGTAACTGACACACTGTTTTTCTCTTCAAACTCCGAATCCAAAATTATCCTCAAAGGTACTGCGTCTGGTTAGCTTACCTCCACAATCATCATCATTGTTGAAGCACCACTGATCAAAGGATCCCTCTTGTGGAACGGTGGTAATGTCCCTACCTCTATGCCAGAAGATCTGGGTTCAAGTCCCATCTGCAATGGTGCTGTGTCATAACCCTTCTAACCGTGGATTGAAGTAACTACCATTGATCAAGTCTTTTCTTTCCATCTGAAACTGCCTTTTCTAGCTTAACCTTCCCCCCCCGCAACCTATTATTAGTCCCGTGTCAGTAAAACTATAAGCATGTGTCCGTACGGCATACAATCATTATTCACTGCCAGTATATTACACCAACAGCACTGATACGGGAGCAGGAAAAGTAATCACTGGCAATACTGAGATAACAAGAGTAGAGCTGGATGAACACAGCAGGCCGAGCAGCATCAAAGGAGCAGGAAGGCTGACACTACGGGTCTAGACCCTTCTTCAGAAAATCAATACTAACAATACTGGCAATACTAACCTGTATGTAAGCCTCCGATAGGGTGATCATTTGTGGCAAGATGTCAGACACCTGTAGATCCTGCAACTCATACCACTTCCCCGTGCCCTGAAAGTACAGTAACCAGGTCAGTATTTCGTACCAACAGGATAGAGTTTCAATGCAGGAGTCAGCATGTAAAGCTGTGTTTGTCCCTCTCAGTTAGCTATGACAAGTAGTCGCAATACTTCCTAGATCACACATGAATCATTGTCTTAAAAAGCCACAGAGTACCAAGTGCAGAACAGCAGGTATGTAACACACCCAGAAATTGTACTAAAACTAACTACTGGAAAATCGGAAATAGAAACCAAACATTCTGGAGCAAACAAGAGGTTGGAGACTCATCTCAGAATCAAATGCAACACGGAGTTGGGATAAAGTGATTTAATCTCAGGCTGTTGCCTAGGAGAGGGATGGAGTCAATCAGTGGGAATAGCAGAGGCAACAATACAGGAGCAGGAACCATTGCCATTGCAAATGTTTCTCTGGCTACAATTAGACTGTCAAGAAATGCAGCCACCTGATAACAATCTCACCAGCTGTAGACCAGTAGTCTGGCCGACGTGAGACTCCAGCCTCAGAATCTGCAACTCACTCCTAATGCACCAGGGTACTTCAGAATTGGCACACTAGGCCTCCTCCCAAGATTAAAAAAAACTCAACAGATAAAGCTCAGCGTTCCTATTCGTTACTTGCACAACGCCGCACACAGTTACTCCTCACACGCGAACAATGACGACTAGCCATGGCAACTGTGAAATGATTACACTTCACATGTATCTTTTGGCTGCTGGAAATCTGAAATAAACAACCATCAACCTGAAAGGTTAACTCCCTTCCTCTGTGCGGGGCCGTGGTGAGGCCAGCCGAGTGTTGTTGTTTCATGAGCCTAAGTACGTGGTTAATTCTAGCACAGTAGTAGAAATGGGGACCCAGTGATTGCGTGAACATCCTTGGCTGCATACTCACATGATGAAGCACGTGGACCCGATAGGCCCCCTCGCCCGGTTTCCCATCGTGGACCACATTTCCAATCAGGTCGTACGTAGTCTGTTTGTGAATGGCCTGAACTTCCTCAGACAGGTATTCTCTAAGGTCAACATTCCTGAAACACACATTTCAATAACAAGTCAATTCTCTGGTAATCTTGCAATCTTGCCATGATCCTACAGAAACCCCTATGTACAGGATATACAGCACAGAATACAGACCGTTTGGCCCAACCAGTCCCTGCTGGAGTCCACCTGCTTCAGTTGAACGTCTTTCATCCAAAACCATCACCATAATCCTATAATCCCTTCTCCCTCATGAGCATGTCCAGCCTCCCCTCAAATACACTGGTACGATTCACTTCAACCACTCCTTGGGGGAGAGAGAGTTCCACATTCTCACCACTCACTGGGTGAAGTGGTTTCTTGTGAATTGCCCATTTGAGGATGAGTGAAAACAATCTGGTCCACAAAAATCTGGGCACAGGCTGTTACCAGACCCAGCTGTCTCCCTAACTTCCTCCCACCCGGAACATCTACACAATCCTGGGAAACTTACACACCAAGTGTGGAAGTCAGTGCACCACAGCCCGCCATCCAGCAGAGCTAAACAGCCCCACTGCACAATTTTACTTGAGATTCAATCGTCTGTCTACACCTCGACATCACATAAGCAGCAGTCATCGGCTCAGCGACCCCCCCGTGCTAGAGAGGGAGCATAAATTTTCAATCAGTCCTGCTGGCAAGCGACATATTGCTGAGACTTTTCATCTTGAATTCATCACAATGAGCACCGAATCTCAAAATTCACAACCATTTGAACTGTGGGACTGCTCTGAGAGTTTGAAGTTCTTGCATTTGTCCTGATGGGTGCAGGATGAAAAGCTTCAGTGACAGGTCTCCCAGTGCAACACAATTTGAGGTTTCAGTCAGTGTCCCTGCCCAGATCACCAGAACAGCTAACTGTGGACGGGAAGACAGGCCTTGCTCCACGATGGAGAATTGATCATTCGTCGTTTAAAAAAAAAAAGCAGCACATGCACCACACTCTGCTAACAGAAGTGTACCTGGGTCCACAGTCAGCACCTTCAAACAGGGAAGGGAGCAAACTTTAAAAGGTAAGTGAAGTATGCATGGGCTTACGTGATCGGGAAGTTAACAATAGTGGGGTTCTTCTCTATGAAGAAGTTGTTCTTTGTGAATCTCTTGATGTAGAAGATGAGGTAAGGTGGGAGCTTTGTCAGCTGGAACCTCTTTAGGAAATTCTCCTTGTAGGTCTTATACTCCTGTGGAAAACACAAACAACATTTACTACAGACAAAGTTTGCATCTCGACAGCATCTTTCACGAACTGAGGACTTTCTGAGATGCTTCAGTGTCAATGGTGCACTTTTGAAGCACTGTAATGTAGGTAAACAGAGGTACACCAGTATGTTGGACATTTAATTGGGGAAATTAAGAATTTAAACACCACCATTAGCTTAAAAAAGGGGGTTATTTTTGTTTAAGAATGGCTGGTCATCAGCAAAGGTATGCTGGAGGCTGTTGGAATGTCGGAGAAAGCTAACAGGATTGTCAGGGTCCTCTCAGGAAGGGAAGCTGCCACCTGTACCTAATTTGGTCTATTTACGGCTCCTACCCCACAGCACTGTGCTGGAGCAAACCACTCAGCAGGGAAAACAAAGGCCAGCAATAAATGCCAGCCTTCCCATTGACGTTCGCAGGAATTATTTAGTGACAGAACAACAAAAGCCCAACAAACACCGTTGGGCTGGTGTTAGGCCAATTTTCAAACTGGACTTTTTTACATCCACCTGAGGTGGCAAGCAGGTCCTTGGTTAATCTGAAGTATCATACCTCTACCCCCTCTGTATTGCACTGAAGTATCAGTCTGGATTTTCAGTATAAGTATAACGTAACAAAGCAAGATAGACTCAACGAACTGATACGTCACTGGTTAGAACAGAGTTAGTCACCTATGCCCAATTCTAGGTAGAGAGTTTTACAAAGAATATCAGGGCCTAGAATTCACAGGACACATGGGCAGTCTCCTGTAATTAAGACTGACATCCTTGAAACAAAGACTGTTAAGGGAAAAGTTCATAATGATGTTCAAAGTGACAGGATAAGGTATTTCGATACAGCAAACACAGATAAACATCTTCCATTGGCACGAGACTGGCTACCAAAAGAGCTGGATGTGAGATAATGGATGCGAGGGCGGGACAGTGGCTCAGTGGTTAGCACGGCTGCCTCACGGCACCAGGGACCCGGGTTTGATTCCACCCTCGGGCGACTGTCTGTGTGGAGTTTGCACATTCTCCCCGCGTCTGCGTGGGTTTCCTCCGGGCGCTCCGGTTTCCTCCCACAGTCCAAAGATGTGTAGGTTAGTCAGATTGGCTGTGGTTAAATTGCCCATAGTGTCCAGGGCTGTGTAAGTTAGGTGTTTTAGACATGGGAAATGCAAGGTTACAGGGAAAGGGTAGGGGAATGGGTCTGGGTGGGATGCTCTTCAGAGGGGCAGTGTGGACTTATTGGGTCGAAAATCGCCTGTTTCCACACTGTAGGGATTCTATGATTTTATGATAATCGGCAAAAATCCAGGATGAAGAGGGGAAACAAGGGCACCTTTCATTTTAAGCAAAACGCAGCAAGTTGTTGTGATCAGGAATACACTGCCTGGAAGGAAAATGGAAGGGAACTGTGCATACATACAGTTGATAAAGGAGAAATTGGCAGAGCTACAGGTAAAGAGTAGGGAGAAGTGGGATCAGAGAGCTCTTTAAAGAGCTGGTACATGTACAATAGACCAAAGAGCCTTGTGCCCCTCGAGTGTGATTTGAATCCATGATCCTCCAACTTGGGAATAACAGTGACATCAAATGAAGAGGGGGGGGCACCTCATGAACAGACCAGCACTGACAACGTACTGTCAACAAACAACAGCACAATGAACTGCTCACAGTGGAATTCTGTTCAGTCGTATTCTCGACTCAGCAGTCTGTGATGTTTAAACAGCTCAATTAATTCTGCTCTATTTACGAAGAATGTCCAGTCATTACTCATTCCCTACGGTGTTTTGTAACAACCTTCTCTGTGATACCGTTGAACTTTGCCAAGATGTTGAAGAGGGGCACTTGCGGAATGATCAGTTGCTCCTTCTCATCCTTGTACAGAGGGGCTGTGGGAAGGTCTAGGGTCAGGTATAAGAAAGTGGACTCTGTCATTGTCTCCTTGAACTCCTCCATTTCCAGCAGTTGCTCTTTCTCCTCCGGTGTCTGCGTACGGGATACAAAACCCATTAAGAGGGAAGCTTTAAAATACAAATTCCATTAAAATGCTCGAGGATCAGAGCAGTTGACAAATCTCTGCACTGATTGCATTTCTACAGGCTGAACAGTCACAAGTGAAACCTTTATTCAATCCATCTATCAAGCTGACAGGATGCAAACTCAGCTATCAAGGTGATAGACAGTGTTTTAAATCATTCTCTCAGGCTTGTTGGAATCACTTTGTTCCCCTTTAAAAAGGGCACTATACTCACTGCCATGCTCCCATGTCTAAAATCAATCAAATACAAGCAATTAGTCTAACAATTTTTCAACCTAGCTCCGACCAGCAGGGGTTAAAATAAAAATTCGGCCCAATAAGCAGGCCTTTATTTTAGATCTCAATCCCATCTATGCATTTTTTCCAACTAATCCATCAATTCCATTTCTGCCCTTTTAATTATTTTGTTAGACGCACTCCGGAAGGACCTCCCTTTGTAACTTATCCACAGCCCTATGTCCTCAGGGTATGCAAGTTCTGTCTGATCAAGAACAGTGAGCAGAAAGTTCAACTGGGATAAATCCAGAGAAAAATGTGGCGGGCAGGTTAGAGTGATCGATTGGAAGTGAAGCATTAAAACGACTGAGCTAAAAGAAACGATAAAAATATGACTCAAAAAGTCACAACCACAGAGGGGGAGAAAAAAAAGAAGTGTTGAAGGAGAGGCTTTTCTTCAAAAGTCAAGGCTTCGGCAAGCCATTGACAGATTCACCACATCAAGCCATTTCCCTGAGAGAAACAAACACAGGAATCAGGAGTAGGCCATTCAACCCTTCTAACCACCACTGAGTAAGACCATGACTGATCGGTTTACACCACACCCCTGCCTAACCCCAATAACCTTGCACTTCTTCGTTTGACCGTTCTTCGGAAGCAGAACCTTACAAAATATTTTTTGACAGTGTCTGGCGACGCCCACAGCTGCCTGCGTGTTCATTGGGGAACATGCGGTTCCAGGGAGATTTTATGTGTAATACCGTGGAATTTGGAACTGGCCTTCAATGACGGGGAGAGGGTACTCAGTCTTGGGGGGAGCTCCGGAGTGAGAAGGAAACAAGGGCCCGGAGGCCAGAAAGTCACAGTTGACAATGAGAGCCCAGAACCCAGAAGGGGTGGCACAAGGAGGCCACAGGAGCTGCCCTCACCCCACTTCATCATCCTTTCCACCAATCTCCTCAGCCACACTCTGACTGTGTGTTGGTGTCAGCAAACACAGCATTACTTTAACTCAGGGAGTACCAAAGACAGCGAAGAATGACCTTGCCTGAGCTACTGGCCCCGTGCTGCCCCTGTCCTGGGAGTGTTTAATGGGGGAGATGTGTAGAGGGAGCTTTACTCTGTATCTAACCCCGTGCTGCCCCTGTCCTGGGAGTGTTTTATGGGGGATAGTGCAGAGTGAGCTTTACTCTGTATCTAACCCCGTGCTGTCCCTGTCCCTGGGAGTATTTGAATGGGGGGGGTGGTGGTGGAAGGGTATGGAGGGAGCTTTACACTTGTACCTAACTCCAGGAGCCCTGGGAGTGATTGATGCTAACCCAAGACAATCTCCATTCCCAGCACTAAAATCTTTCACCTTCATGCAGACATACGAGTTAGGGGCAAGAGCATGCCATTCAGCCCTCCTCCTCCATTCAATAAAATCACAGCAGAGCTGACTCAACCCTCAACTCCACATTCCTGCCTATCCCTGATCAGATTTCATCCCCTTGCTGATCAAGAACCTGTTTTAAAAAATATTCAAAGGCACTCCTTCCACCGCCTTTTCAGGTAGAGTTCCAAAGACATTCAGAGGAAAAAGTAACTCCTCACCTCTGTCCCAAGGGGTGGCCCCTGTCTTTAAACAGTGACCCCTCATTCTAGATTCTCCTGCAAAACGCAATATCCTCTCCACGGCTATCCTGTCAAAACTCCTCAGGATGCTTCAATCAAGTCCCCTCTTTCTCATCTAAAATTCAGCAGGATCAAGCCCAGTGTTTCTTCAGAAAAGCACCTGCCCATTCCAGGCATTACTCTGCAAAACTGTCTCTGAACTGTTTCCAAACACATTCACACCCTTCCTTAAATAAAGGGGACGACAGCACAAGTTTTATACTCGTGTAAGTTAGTCAAAAGAGAATCATCCTGAGGAAAACCCTGAACTGGTTTGATTGAGGAATCAGACAGAACCTGTGCTGACGTGCATTTCTGGCTACTTGATGCCACCAAGTGGTCAAGAACAGAAGTGCATGTAAAATTTGTCAAGTTGATGGTGGTTAGGGGGAGAAGCCAGGCTGGGAACTGCATTGTCACCTTCCTGCTGTCCCTGTCCCTGGGAGTGTTTGATGGGGGGGACAGTGTAGAGGAACCTTTACTGTGTAACTAACCCCATGCTGTTTTGTCCTGGGAGTGTTTGATGGGGGGAACAGTGTAGAGGAAGCTTTACTGTATATCTAACCCTGTGCTGTCCCTGTCCCTGGGAGTGTTTGATGGGGGGGACAGTGTAGAGGTAGCTTTACTGTGTAACTAACCCCATGCTGTTTTGTCCTGGGAGTGTTTGATGGGGGGACAGTGTAGAGGAGGCTTCACTCTATATCTAACCCTGTGCTGTCCCTGTCCTGGAAGTGTTTGATGGGGGGGGAACAGTGTAGAGGAAGCTTTACTGTGTAACTAACCCCATGCTGTTTTGTCCTGGGAGTGTTTGATGGGGGTGACAGTGTAGAGGAAGCTTTACTCTGTATCTGACCCCGTGCTATCCCTGTCCCTGGGACTGTTTGATGGGGGGACAGTGTAGAGGAAGCTTTACTATGTAACTAACCCCATGCTGTTTTGTCCTGGGAATGTTTGATGGGGGGTGGTGTAGAGAGAGCTTTACTCTGTATCTAACCCCGTGCAGTCCCTGTCCTGGGAGTGTTTAATAGCAGGGACAGTGCCCAGGAGGAGGAAGCCAGCACCTTCAGAGGGTCAGTCCAGTGCTTCCCAGGATCACAATCTGCCAAGGTCTGCCAGCCAGAGGAATGGTTAAGATCAAAACAGAAACTGAATAAGAGGAGGAATGATAAGAAAAGGGGAACTAACCAGGTCTGGTGGAGGCAGCTTCTTTGTAAAGATTCGCATGGATCCCTGAAATACGCTGTTGATGATGGCTGTAAAAGAGGAATACATTGAATCAGACAAGAGGAAGAGCACAGCAAGATGACACTCACCAGGGGGCTTCAGTATTACCGAACTTCCTGCTCATCAATCCCGAGGAAGCTCCCATAAACAACAGCGCTTCCCCAACCGCTGTGCACCTGGTGTGGAGCTACACAGCTTTTGAAAACATAACATGAGTACCCTCACGGCTAAAGGGCATCCAATGTCCAGTCTCCACTGTGAGCCCAATATAACGCTGGCTCCTTATCCAACCCAGAGGATTGCCTTCTGAGGAAAGGCTACACAGGCTAGCTCTGTATCCTTAGGAGAGTCAGAGGTGACTTAATGCAAATCTATTAAGATTCTGAGAGGACTTGACCAAATGGAGGGCGAAAGGATGTTTCCTCATGTGGGAGAATCTAGAACAAGGGGTCACTGTTTAAAAATAAAGGGATCGCCCATTTAGGACAGAGATGAGGAACGTTTTTCTCTCTTTGGAATTCCCTTCCTCCAAAGACAGTGGAGGCAGAGTGCTTCTATACTGTTAAGGCAGAGGGAGATAGATTCTGGATTATCAGGGAGAGGCAGGAGTGTAGAGGTTAAAATCAGATCAGCCACCATCTGATTGGAAGGTGGAGGAGGCTTGAAGGGCTGAATGGTCTTCATTTGTATGCTCATACCCATTGAGATCACAGCTCTGCTCTTGTGTGTTCTTGGTTGAGGGGATGGAGGGAGGGAGGGAGTGGAGTTGGGGGTGGGGGGGGGGCAGGAAGGTGGGAGGTGGTGGGTGGGGGGGGTGGAGCAGGGAGGGATGGAGGGAGGGAGGTGTCACTGAACAATGACAAGTGCAGAACCCTGGAATCAGTTTTCCTTTCCCTGGCCCAAAGGAGCTGAGGCCAACTGCACCACTACTGTGCTGAACCTTAGCACAAAGCACAGAACCAAACCCTCGCCCATCCACAGCGGTCCCGCTGAGGCACAGCCTTCTCTCAATATCATCCAGTATTCCCGAAGCTAGGCAGTAAGCTTACTGCCACCTCCATGACAGATGTACCGTTCAACAAGACTCTTCAGGTAAAACAGCAACACTACAAGCATTTCAGTGAACAAACATTTCATAGTGTTCGTCTACCTGAACGATGAAATAACAGGGGAGAGCCACAGATGGAGTACAGAAGCAGCAGGAATGCTCAGCCCCTCAAGCTACTTACTCTTCTTCTTCTTGTTCCCTCCCAGTGCCATATGGAGTGCATTCAGGAACCACGACAGAAAGTCAACAGCATCACCTGTAACAGCAGACAGATATTCCACAACCACTGAAAATGTTTTTGGGAATTACTCAAGCAACGATGAATTACTGAAGCAATGGGAGACTGGCACTGACGTACTAAATTAGAAACTGAAGCAGAAAGGGTGGGACATTGCAGGCATTTCGGCAACTGGAAGCAAAGAGAGAGAGAGAGAGACATCAAGACTTTGTATACCCTTTGACAGAACTCTGAATGAACATCTCAAACACTGCTCTGCTTGACTAAGGGACTGGCTGCACATTTTCTGCATGTTCCACATAGACAGTGATGAATGAATCTCGCCTTTTTACCTCACCACTGACAGAAACCCAAGCGGTGGATCGGAGGGCAGAGTAGAAGTTTGTAAGATTATGGTGCATGGCACACAATGGGAGAAGCAGCGCTTTATCAGATAGGTCACAGTGTGAACATGGCCGACTGCTCATTGCCGTCTGTGGTTGCTTCTGAAGCAGAGCAGCCACCACTCAACCAATAATCAAACAGCTGTCTACTGTGCATTTAGAGTCATACAGCACGGAAACAGACCCTTCAGTCCAACTCGTCCATGTCAACCTAAATTAATTTAGCCCCATTTGCCAGCATTTGGCCCATATTCCTCTAAAACCTTCCTATTCACGTACCCAGCCAGATGCCTTTTAAATGTTGTCATTGTACCAGCCTCCACCACTTCCTCTGGCAGCTCGTTCTGTACACGCAGCACCCTCTGCGTGAAAAAGCTGCCCCTCCTAAATCTTTCCTTTTAAATTTTACCCCTCTCACCTTAAACATATGCCCTCTAGCTTTGGACTCCACCTGGGAAAAGAACCTTGACTATTTACCCTATCCATGCCCCTCATGATTTTATAAACCTCTATAAGGTCACCCCTCAGCCTCCGATGCTCCAGGGAAAATAACCCGAGTCTATCCAGCCTCTCCCTGTAGTTCAAACCCCCCCTACACCAGCAACATCCTTGTAAATTTTTTCTGAACCTTTCAAGTTTAACAACATCCTTCCTGTAGCAGGGAGACCAGAACTGAATGCAGTATTCCAAAGGTGGCCTCATCAATGTCCTGTACAGCTGCAACATGACCTCCCAACTGCTATACTCTGACCATTAAAGGCAAGCCTTCTTCACCGCCCTGTCTATCCTGTGACTCCACTTTCAAGGAACTATGAACCTGCACCCAAGGTCTCTTTGTTCAGCAATACTCCCCAGGACCTTACCATTAAATGTATAAGTCCTGCCCTGATATGCCTTTCCAAAATCCAGCACCTCACATTTATCTAAATTAAATGCCACTCCTTGGCCCATGGGCCCATCTGATCAAGGTCCCGTTGTAATCTGAGGTAACCTCCCTCACTGTCCACTACAACCTCCAATTTCAGTGTCATCTACAAACTTACTAACCTCCTGTATTCACATCCAAATCATTTCTATAAAAGATGAAAAGCAGTGGACAAAAAACAGGGTTTACATTTCATCTTGTTACGGAGGGGGAATAGTTGAACACCTCTGATAATTAAACCAAAACACAATCCCTAATCTGCTGTGACAGAATTACAGGTTCCTCTCTAATAATCACCCCCAAACCACCCAGAGAAGTTCACCTTTCCCCTCGTAATCCATTAAAACTGGTTAAAAGAAATGAAGTGGCGATCAGGGATTTTCTAAGAAACAAACTATTTATTTATTTAACCCTAACAATGAACAAGTTAAAAAGAAATCCTAACAAACCGACAATTCCCCCCTTAGACTACTAACTACTTCCTAACTGGTCTAAATTCTAGTGGAATGCTATTCAAATAAACACAAGTCCCATTTATATAAACCCAATTAATAAGAAAGCAATGAATTAAAACTTAATTTCTTCAAGTTCACACAGACCGTGTTCTGGAATATTTTGACATCTCCAGTCTTTTCACAAACACCTTTCTTCCATTAATTCTGCTGTCAGGGATTTTTTTATCTCTGTAATTTCTTCAATGAGGAGTTTGAGCTAAAATACGTGGGACCTTTGATGAATGTGATGGGCTTTCTCTGAGAGCTGAATGGTGCTAACTCTAGCAGGTGGCAGATGGCTCTCCCCAATTTTCCAAATGGCCTCATCTTATATACCCGTAACGACATAATCAAACTCTTATTTTGTGATTGGTTTCTTGTCAACGCATCTAGGTGCTTGGTTTAAATTAACTGGCCAAATTCAAACTCGTTGACTTGGGAAAAAGTTGCTGCTTAGCTGTTCGATACAAAATGTTTTCATTCGGGCACTGTCTGTGTGCACCTGCATTTATAAACTTCCAAGCACAAAAGCACAAGCTCTTAAAGGGACCATGGCACTCTTTTCCCCACGATCATTTTTACTAGCAAATTCTAACTTCCTGCCTTCCAATTCACGAATACTCTACCCAACTTCGTAACAATCTGGCTTTGAGACGTTTGTTTCATACTTTAAAACTGTTTTATTTGTTGTGATTCTACGCCCTGGTAATATCTACTAAATGTAGCTTTAAAGAACTTACATATTCGAAAACCAACAAACCTCAAAGGGACAAAATTTCAGCGGGTTTTTATTTGCAATCTCCCACATTGTTGCAGAAATCGCAGAGAAGCAGGGGGAGCAACCAGTTTTGGATTTATTTTTGGATGGTTTCTGATCATGTTTCGTTAAAGTTAAAATGGAAACGTTGCCTCCATCAGTTCTAGAAGGGTTTACATTTGAGGACCAGTATACACAGGGGGCCAATTCGCACACAGCAAGCTCTCAAACAGACTGCAATAATGACCTGATAATCTGTCATATTTTGTCATATGACATTTTTTGTCATATTGCCCAAGGAATACATATCAGTAAGGGCACTAAGGATAACTTTCGTACTCTGCTTTGAATTAGTCCCATGGGATCCTTAACAGCCTGCTGAGGGAGTCTCCATTTAATCTTTCATCCAAAAAGTGGTACCTTCCACAGTGCAGCGCTGCCTCGGGTCTGCACTGGAAATATCGGTGTGTGGATTTCCAGCATGGGACTGGAACCCACAACCTGCAGCTCAAGAGTGAGCCATGATTGAAAATTAAACATCTAGGACTCTGGAGTTAGCATCTTCCATGCAAAACCCAATGCAAACCTCCCTGAGGACCAGGCTCAGGATCAACCAACAGTCAGCCCAACTCTGAAGTGATTGAAATGGAAACAAAATCCAGAGCAAGGTTCCAGCTAAACTTCCATTCAGTACCTACCCCCATTCAATTGACAATTAATCCTGCTCTTCCCCACCCACGAGCAATTCAGAGTATCCATAAAAGAAAGTTTCACCAGTCTGTAACTTGCCAACTTGTGGCAGTATTAGTTAGTTAGCCCCTACCCTGTTTGGTGATCTGGAAACGTTTCTTGCTGCACAGCACCACAGCCTGTAACATCTCATGTGGAGAGACGTGAGCCTTGAAGTTCCGGGGATTTCGCAGTTTCCTCATCAACTCCCCGAATCTCTGCACCAGCAGGAACATAATGTCCCCTGGAGGACGCTTGATATCCCTGTAGTTCTCTTCCTCCAGGAAATAGTTCCGCAATGGAGGGACATTAGACAGGGCCTGAAACAGAAGCACAGATCAGCGACAGAAGTACAGACAAATCAACACCTACTGGCTATCACAATTCGAATCACTTGCTGTCACGGATCAGCTCACTGTTTGGACTACGTTACATTATAACGTAGGTCATAGCCTAATCTGGGTGACGGTTTCTTTATTTCCTTACCTGCAGTACCACGTTAGCATAGTCATTGGCCTTGATATTGTTCAATCCCACAATTCCTGGCAGGTAGGTCGTCCCATCATACGCCCGTGACAGCTTTGACTGTTTGTCCAGGTTCGCGATGTGCTGTTTGGTAAATGTTGGCTTCAGTACGTACTGAAACGCAAAAGGATGGGTGGTAAACTCCTCGCTATTCTCATACACCAAACATCACGAACAAAATACAGTGTGGTTCTAAATTGCTGAGAAGTGTAGCCTGCAAATACACAGGCAAAGCTTAACAGCAAACATCTCACAGGAATTCAGTAAAGCAGGAGTGAGGACTGGGCTTGGGAATTCCTGAAAATTATCTAAGGCAGAACCTTTCATGCAAAGGTTGAACAACGTTTGTTTGTTTGTCCTCAGTGTTCGTACCTTCTCAGTGAAGATGCTCCAGAAACCTCAACAGACATTTCCTCAAGAGAAAACAAACTAGCAATTCATAGAATTTTTTGCATGAAAACGACCTGCCATTCAATCCCTCCCAACTGCTGGTACATTTTACTTTTCACTTAACTTCTTTTTCCATTATTTCCGTTAGGCAATTTTACGTCCGGACAACCCTCTACAAATTCTCCAAATTTTTCCCATTGTCCTCTTAGTGATAATCCAGATTTAAAGTTTTGGCAAAGATCTGTAGCTCAGGTTGTGGGTGAGGTTATTGACTTGCTCGCCAAGCTGGCTTGTTCTCATTCAGACATTTCGTCACCATGCTAGGTAACATCATCAGTGGACCCTCCGACGAAACGATGTTATTCTACTTTGCTTGGAATTTATACTGTTTTGATCTGTATGGGTTTGTATATGGGGTCCAATTCTATGTGTTTGTTGAATTCCTAGAGGCATGGTTGTCCATCCGTAATGCAATCAACAAACATATAGAATTGGACCCCACATATAAACCCATAAAGATTAAAACCAGAAGTGACAGTACTCACCATAACAGACTGGACAGTATAAATTCCAAGTGGAGTAGAACAACATCGCTTCATTGGAGGCTCCACTGATGATGTCACCTAGCATAGTGACGAAACATCTGTACAATTACAAGCCAGCTCAGTGAGCAAGTCAACAATCGTAATCCAGAATTGGCTTAGTCACTAACTTACTGAGTGTAGACAGACTTTCTCCCAATTTACCCTTTCTCAGAATTTTGAACATGGTGGATCCTTGGGGATGAAATCTAAACATTTACAGATACATGTTCAGTTTCCACTGCTTCACCAAAACTGATATAACATCCACTATACACAGGGGACCAGAGGTTATGCAGTCGTACCATGGGTGTGGGGTATAGCTCAGTGAACATTTAGGGCCACTGTAACAGGATCTCAGCAAAAGTCAAAGGCTCCTAGTAAAGGCCGCGAGGGGGTTGTTTAAGAAAAATGAGAAGTTACTTCTGAACACTAGCGCCACATGCTTACTTACCGTGATATCCTCAAGGGAAGAGTCAATGATTTCATAGTTGTCTGGCAGGCAGTAAAACTTCAGCGTGTGCAGATTCAGAAAGACATGGTGCCCCACCTGAACGCTGTGAATGTTGGCGTATGACTTCAGGCCTCGCCCTGTGGGAAGCAAATAGTCACATTCAAACCTACATCCTCCGCAAATACCTGCCCCTCCGCAGGACTGACAATCTCTTTTTCAGGCAGGGGTTCCACCATTACCAACCAGGAGAACATCACCGTGGAACTCAGAAACTAAGTGCCAGACTCCAGGTGACAAACAAACAGCATCACAGATAACAAAAACAAAGATGCTGGAAAAGCTCAGCAGGGCTGGCAGCATCTGTGAAGGAAAAAAACAGAGTTAATGTTTTGGGTCCGGTGCCCCTTCCTCAGAACAGATAAACCAGTTACTGTTCATAGACCAAACGTCCAAACTGGAGGCACTGGGTATGGTCCAGCTGTAATGAGATGCCTGTCCAACATTAACTCCGTCCTCCACACCAAAGATAAATGGTAGTGTAGCAGCAAATTACTACAGATGCTGGAATCTGTACGGAAAACAAAAAAATGCTGGAGATCACAGCAGGTCAGGCACCATCCGTGGAGAGAGAGCAAACTAATGCTTTGAGTCAAGATGACTCATCAGAGCTGAAGTGAAGGCTACTGTCTGACCCACTGTGATCTCCAGCATTTTTTGTTTTCAGTATAGATGGTATTGTCCTTACTATGGCCAGGTAAGGATCGAATCCATGGCTATTCTGGATGACCTAGCACAGTCCGACATCAGGCTCTTCAGTTACGAATAATATTATATTCCAAAAACAAAACCCATTTTTTGGCATGTTTTCCTCAGATCTGGACTTCCAAGTCAGATTAGGATAGTCATCAGTGATTGGTAAGAAGTTGAGAATCCGATTCTGAATATTTCTGAATCAAACTGAATGTGAAACACTCCTTACATCGGTAGGAAGTCTTGTGTGTTTAACAGAATGAAAGTAGGAGTGTCACAACCCAAAACACACATACCTAATATATAACAAGCAGAAGTACACAGCCCCCACTTCCATAAAACAGACAAAATGGTCAGAAACTCCTTTTGTTCTTTTTTGACAAAGTACAACTAATATGGCAGCACATATCTAACAGTTCAAGTATCAACAGTGTCCAGATCTATAAAGATTTATAAAGTTCTGGTTAAGTCACAACCAGAGTACTGTGTCCTGTTGTGATCCCCACACATTAGAAAGGAAGTCTCCTTTGCAAGGGTGCAGAGGACATTTCCCAAAATGGTTCCGGGGATGAAAGATTTTAACGACAGGGTTAGGTTGGGAGAATCTAGGGCTGCTCTCCTTGGAGCAGAGGAGATTGAGGGAAGATAGGTGCATGAGATTACAACAGGTTGACATAAGGTTAATAAAGAAAAGCTCTTCTCATTAGCTGATGGTAAAAAGACACAGGGACACTAATGTAAGGTTTTGGGCAAGAGGGGAATCTTTGTATGGGGAGCAATGATGAGGGGGAGCTTGCTGCCTCTGAGGGCAGTGGAAGTGGAGACGATGAATGATTTCAAAAGGAAATTGGACAAGCACTTGAGGGAAGTGAACCTGCAGAAGCACAGAGAACGTGGGTGAACCAGAAATGACTGGATTGCACAAGAGAGAGCTGGCATGGACCAGATGGGCTGAACGGTCAACATCTGTGCTGTAAAGATTCTATGACCCATTCATAATTCACAGAATTTTAATGCAACTGACTACTTCAGACTCGACTTACTAATGACTTGGTGCCCTCAGATTCCAAAAATGCACCCAGTTTACAAAAATCCTTCGAATGATCCGTCTGACTGCAGACAGGAATAAGAGTAACAGACAATAAGAGTAAGCTTGCACATTTATGTCAAACTGCAAGAATCCAAGAATTTTAGCTGCTGAAATACTGTCTGTATGACACTATAATTACGAGAGATCCTAAACCTTAAGTACTTAGGTCAGCTGAACTCAGCTGGCACACTGGGGCATGACGATCAATCTCGTCATCTTTGTTCGCGTTGGTAGATGGGAGACTCCCGAGACATGGCAATTAGTCCCAGGTTCCAGGATCTTACCACTGATCTTACTCAGGAGCCGGTTGGAAAAAGCCCTTAGTTTTCTGGGCATTTAAGGAGAGGCCCATTTTCCCATGTGCTTCACAGCAGTTGTCATCGAAGACATGGAGCGGGTCCTGAATGAGCACACAAAGTGAGTGATTTTGGTTTTGGATTGAGGATGATGTAGGTTGAAGCATTTTCTGTTAATTTATCTCATGTGATGATTCTGCGGGTGAGGACCATGGCTTGCAAGTCATCGCTGGAGTGGGACAAACATAAGGAGCGTCGTTCAGAAACCTTCTGGATTGAGACTGCTCCAGTTGGAGCAGCAGACACACCTTCAAGGATGTCATAAAACCTCCCTGAAGAGGAGAGACCCTGGTTTGTGACCAACCCAAATGGGGGAAGGCTCGTGTGCAAAAGCACGTCAAGAGACTGAACTCAGAACACACGGAGGTTACTCACCTTGAAAATATTTGCCACACACCAGGCAAGCATATACGTTGATGTGGGAGAGGGAGACGGAGCACAGCTTTTCGAAGTCAAAATCCAACACACTCCTGTTTACAGGGCGAGGGAGAGGGAGAGAGAGAAATGAAAAGACCATCAGGCTCTGAATGCCTTCATGAAAACAGAATCTCACTACTCCTCGATAACTTCCTCTAAACTGCCTCATGAATCATATAGACATCAGCTGAACACAGCTCGCTCCAATTTAACTGTATTTAAAATTGAATTTACTCAGCAAGTCTTGAACCAACTGTGTAAAATCTAATTGCTTCAAAAGCATGCCGGATTGAAGCTTATAGATTGGGCAGACATGGGTTGTATTTCGCTAAGAGCTGCAGTTTGAAAGAACTAATCAAATCATTTAAAACGTGACGGGGCTATGGAGAATGGTGAATGGAGGATACAATCTTAAGATTAGAGTTTGACCACTTAGGAGGCACGTTTCAAAAGAAACATGTGAGAAATTCTCGGTCCCCGAAAAGCAATGGACTTAGGGCTGATTGCTTCTGAAAGCTGCAATCTGGTCATGGATGAAGGTTGATAAGTGTAGGTGAGGTACTGATCAGACAGAATTGAGCTGAATAGCAGGACATGCTCAAGGGGCTGAATGTCCTCCTCCTGTTCTCATGTCCCCACATAACGTCTCTGTCCGACCCTGCAAGCAGACCAGCCTGCTGTACCAGTGAGACTCTCCAGCTACTTTCACAGCCATCGCCACATACTGACAAATGGGGAGCACTGCAGTCTGGATGGTGGAATGGATTTAATGCAGCAATACTTTTCAAACCAAACTAATCAACCCAGGAGAGGGAAGAGACTTGCACTCCTACGGCCAGTGTCTTTTACAAATCTTCCACCTGGCAATAACACTCAATAGATTATTTTTAAAGGAGATATGTTAAAGTGTAACCCAAGCTGCCAAAACTGGCTCACACTTACCGATTGATAGTGTCCAGATAGGGGCAGTGCCTGCTTCGGTCATCCTCCTCCTCCTCCTGAGGATGTAACCTCGCAATCTTGGAGGCTACAAGGTAGAAGGGCAAAGAATGGACAATGTTAATATTCACCTCATTGGGAGACTGCTGTGCATCCACTGCCAAATTGACCAAAGTGTGAAATGGCAGGCAATTCACCTCTCAGACCTTTGAGTTTGGAGTTGGGATGTCACTCTGAGGTTGTACAGGATGTCAGTGAGGTCTCTTCTGGAACACTGAGAACTGTCCAAGTCGCCCCGTTAAAGGACAGATGTTATTTCATAGGAGAGGGTTCAGAAAAGATTTACCAGGTTGTTTGCTGGGAATGGAGGGTTTGAGTTATAAGGAGAGAAGAGATAGGCTGGGACTTTACTCACTGGAGCGTAGGAGGTTTAGGGGTGACCTTATAGAAGTTTATAAAATCGTGAGGGGTATAGATAAGGAAAATGGCATGTGTCTTTTCCCTAGGGCAGGAGATTTCAAGGCAATGAGGCATATTTTTAAGGTGAGGGGAGGAATATTTAAGAAAGACATGAAGAGCAATTTTTTTTTTACACAGAGAATGGGTCGTATGTGGAATGAACTTCCAGACAAAGTGGTGAATGCAGGTACAGTTACAATGTTTAAAAGACATTTGGATAAGTACATGAATAGGAAAGGTTTGCAGGGATACGGGCCAGGAGCAGGCAGGTGGGACTAGTTTAGTTTGGGATTATGGTTGACATGGACTGTTTGGACTGAAGGGTCTGTTTCTGTGCTAGGAGTCAATAATTAGCACGTGAGACAGTAAGATTAGCAGAAAGTTGATCTGCAGTAGATCCTTTTGAGGAATGGACATTGGCACAGCACCTATATTGAGACTGTAGAAACTAGGAGCAGGCCATCCAGCCCTATGAGCCTGCCAATGCCCAAGTCAGCAACTTTCAGAGTTACTGAACTCAAAATTAAATGATTCACTCACTGGGAGTAAGAGACACGCAGGGAGCAGACTAGGCCTGAATCAGACACAGACTGAGTGTCCAGTAGGTGCAGGGAAGAAAAGACATGCCCTTTTTTAAAACTTCTGTCAGGATCCAGTGACTATAGAAGTTACAAGTTGCTCCTCAGACATAGAGGGTAATCTAGAGACAGATGTGAGAGTTTAAAAAAGATGGTAGGGCAAGTCTGAGAGCTCAGAGAACTCCAAATTAAACTGAAGTGTAACAGAACAACAAAGAAGATTAATGATGGAATGGTTAGTGTGCTCATTCTCTTTAGCTCATACCTAATCTTATTCAGGAAAAGTATTACGTGAACTTAAAAAATAAGAATCTTCTTAAAGTTGGGTAATTTGTCCATGAGGTTTTATCAATAGCTGTGTGTGTAGTTGTGAAGACTTTTGGAGCGCTAGGTTCTGTTAATTATAAAAATTAATTCATCAGTGGTTAGTAAAGATGGCAGCGTGGCTGCTGTAGGCAGGAGCTGGTTGATGCCAGTATGATCTATCTGCAGACAGTCTCTGCAGCTTGAGAATCTTTGGCTTATCTTCGGCTTAAGAGTCGATGAGCTGGAGACCAAGCTACAGGTGCTGGAGATGTCGTCGGATTGGATGCGTTGGATCCGGAGGTTGGTGGGGTGGTACGTGAGGACGAGGGGGATTCTGTTTTGGTTGTTATTGCGGGGACGGGGTGTGAGGGATGAGTTGCGGGAAATGCGGGAGACACGGTCAAGGGCGTTCTCGACCACTGGGGGGCGGGGGTGTTGAGGTCCTTGAAAAACGAGGACATCTGAGATGTACGGGAGTGGAATGCCTCATCCTGGGAGCAGATGCGGCGGAGGCGAAGGAATTGGGAATAGGGGATGGCATTTTTGCAGGAAGGTGGGTGGGAGGAGGTGTATTCTAGGTAGCTGTGGGAGTCGGTGGGCTTGAAATGGATATCGGTTTCTAGGCAGTTGCCCGAGATGGAGACAGAGAGGTCCAGGAAGGTGAGAGAGGTGTTAGAGATGGTCCAGGTGAACTTAAGGTTGGGGTGGAAGGTGTTGGTGAAGTGGATGAACTGTTCGAGCTCCTCGTGGGAGCACGAGGCGGCGCTACAGGTGCAGCAGGGACAGGGAAGGTTTCTTACAGGGGACAGTCATAACCCTTGGGGTTGGGTCACTGGATTTGATCCAAGGACAAAACCAGAAACACATGAGCTGCTACAGTGCTCAAGAAGGGATAAATGGACCAGTGGCACTGTGTAAGGGAAGCCATTCAAGTCTGGGGAAGGTAAACAGGAACGTTGTGGTAGCAGGGGTCAGTACAGTCAGGGTAGTCTGCAGTAAGAGTCCAGGAGGCTGCATTGTAAGCTCAGCGCCAGGGTACAGGACATCTGATCGGGGCTGAAGAGAAATTTGTAATGGTAGGAGCAGGGATCCAGTTGTTGTAACCCACGTGGGCAAGAAGACAGGGGCATGACTAGAGAAGGGGTGCTGCTTAGGGGACCATGACCAGCTCAGTTAAAAAGGAGAACCTCAGTAGTATTAACACCTGAGTGGTTACCTGAACCGTGAGCACATAGCATAGGATGACTAAGATGAGAGGGACATAGGGGAAATGGGTTTATGGGTCACTGGCATCAATATGAGGGCTGTACAATGGGAAGGTCTCACCTGACTGCATGCAGGGACCAGTGCTCTGGTGAATTGTAGAATTAATATTTAGAGCTTAGCTTGTGGGAGCAGGGGTTATGGGAAGGTGATAAGGTATAAAGCGGGGCAGCAATTTTGGTAATGATAACCAGGGTGTGTGGTAAGAAGGCAGATCATATGAACTTAAAGAAACACCAATCAACCCGGGCTGGGTGACACCGTGACTACGCCAACATGCTTCATCACTGAAACTTGACTAATGAACCTGAGCTGGGTCTCACTGTAGATGCATCAACACCACCAGCCACTTCCCTCAGGCCTACAACCCAAGCCAACCTCTACCCCTCCAGTGCCTGTGCCTGGTGGCACCAACGCACTGCAAATACACCAACTGCACTGCCCCACAGAGCCAGGTGGCATTGCGATCTGCACCAACAGCCCTTCACGAGGCAGGTGGCATTGCAAACTGTGCCAACAACCCTACATGAGCCAGGTGGCACTGCAAGCTTCACCAACTGCACTGCCTGAGCTGGGAAGGCATTGCAAACTGCATCAGAAACCCTCCTAAGCTGGGTGGCCCCGCGACCTGCATCGACAACCCTCCCCTGTGCCGGAAACCCTACTGAGCCCACGGGTGGGCACCACGAGCAGCGCCAACAAACCCTGCCGAGCCCACGGGTGGGCACCGCGAGCCGCCCCAACAAACCCTGCCGAGCCCACGGGTGGGCACAGCGAGTCGCCCCAACGAACCCTGCCGAGCCCACGGGTGGGCACAGCGAGCCGCCCCAACGAACCCTGCCGAGCCCACGGGTGGGCACAGCGCCAACGAAC